AATACATTTAATTTTCATTTATAAGTTATAATATTACATAAGGGTTGTTCTTAAATATTAAATTGTAAATAGCATATGTCCTAGAAGACAATAAGAGGTACTAGTACCTATAAGCTATAACCAACCAACTTTAGTCGCCATTTATATAATACTATACCTTTTTGATATAATATTTATATATATTTGAAAATAATTCACGCGTCTCTCAGGAAAAAAAAAGTAAAACTGAATTGATCGGGGAGAAAATAAGAAGAGTCTGTCGGATTTACAGTGAGGCACCTTATTTAGTCTATTGTGTCCGTTAACGGTAAACTTTATACAAATTTTATAAAATCACTATTGAACACCACAGCTATTTTGTCTCGACAATTTTTTTTTTTTTATAACCTAAAATACTAGTACGTGTACTTTCTTAAAAAACTGCCTTTGATTAACAGCACCAATGTGAAATTACGATGCCTTTTAAGACGCTTTAAAATCCTATTTATTATTATTTATTAATATAATATATCACGCCGAGAAGTAAATAATAGTAGTATAATGAATAAAGAATTTGTGTACGCCTATTCTTTAAAGCCACGTAAAGGTTCAGAGGTACTTATTTAGTATAATTAATAAATTATTACATCAAAAAAATTATGTACCTGTTTATCAAAATATTTTAACTATATTCATGTCTATAAATATATTTAAAAGGGAAAGTCGTTACCTACCCGGACCTCTCCCCACCGGGCGTACGTGACGTAACATATATATACATCAGATATTTCGGGAAATATCTACAGTATAATTTGACACCCCAAAATTGTTCGCATGATTAACAAATTTTTCAAATTATGATTTTATCGATGACATTCAATTAATCTAAAAAGCTTGAATCAATAATAAAAACGAGTGTTTATAGAAGTATAGTACGAGTATATTAGTATGTATAACATAATGAATGGAAAAGGTGAAAATCGGAAATTTCTCACCAGCTCTTTCTGGATAGAACATTCCAAAGGTAATTGCGTTAAGTCAAAGCAAACATAGTTTAAAACTCTTTTTCTATCTTTTTCTTTTATTTAATCAAAAAAGAGAGAATGGCAAGTTACTGCACTACGCAGTAGTATAGTACAACGTATATCTGTAATATGTTGTGCATGTGATCACCTAACCTAACTCGACAGATCATAAATTTAAAACCTCCCCAAAAATATGTTGTTACTATAATATAATACAATATTATTTCAACGAATATAATATTACAGTTAATTTTTTTAATTCATGCAAGCATAAAATTATAAGACAATGAAATAAATTCTATTACGTGAATACGTGATCATGTTGTGAGTTTAATAGTAAAATATGCATTATTATTTTCAGAAGACAAATCATACATTACGGGACCAAGAATCGACGACGTTCCAATGCCACATCACAAGCTCGAGGCCGTTTAAATCGTATTATAATAATTAATATTATTGTTATTTTTTTTCTATTCCATTTGTTTTGTGTAAATTACATTTTTAGAGAGAAAAACATAATGTAAACGAGTACCATCAATGTAGATAGAAAAAAAATGTTATGTAGTTCCTTAGTTTCGTTATTAACATTACGATATTGTTTTCGTCAATTAAATAAATTAAATTGTTTCTCGTGTTACTTAGTCAAAATTCATATTATTATATTTATATATATATATATATATATATATATATATATATATATGCACACACACATAAATGTATGCGTACAGGTTGAACGGATAAAACAATATTCGTATCAAACTGAAAAAAAGCAATTTTAGGACAATCGTTTCTAATTAATTTTACAAATGTTGATACATTTTTTTTTTTTTTAATTGCAAGGCTACAATAAATTATTTAATAAATTGAAAAAATCATACATTTAAAATACTTACGTCTAAACTTCGTCAATACCGATTCAACGACTTACGTCTAAACAACCATAAGAATTAAAAACAAATATAGTGACAACATCTATAACTTAGGATTTTTTTTTTTAAAGTTCTTAATGGAGGTCTTTAAAATTGACTAGATTTAAAAATTCTAAATTTTAAATCAAGTATTGCAACGAATATTGGTAGGAAGGCCGATCAGGGGTAACTCGGTTCGTCTCTGCATCAAACTATCGTAATAAGATCACTTACAGTTGTTTTTTAACCAGAATAACAACGTTATACATTAGCACATTGTACCAAGAAACTTTCATCTTTATTAATAGTTCTTCTCAAACCGGTATCCCAACCATTCGCTTTTGTACTGATAAGAGCGATGATATTGCCTCTGTCACTATTCTTTTTCCTTGACATAAAGATCATATGATATATTCCATTCTATACATAGGTAGGTATCTCGTGTTTTTTTGCCTTAGTAACATGGTTGTGATAATCATATCCAGCAGAACGTCTTCGCATAATGTTTCCTCAGTGACAGGCTCGAAAAGAATCACCAAGTTACCGAGTTTAATTCGGTAGATTGGACAGTGAACACATTTTAAAAAATTAAGTATTAAACTTAATTACTCTAACCTATTTTAACGAATCTTGAGCAAGTAAAAGTTCTAAATCTTGATGGCGCGAGTCTACCCCACACTGCTAACCCTTTGTAAACCTACCATAAAAGATGATGAAAATTTAATTTTTTTTTTGCACGATTATAATTTATTATTTTTTTTTTTGATGAATTTAAAGATAATAAAATTTAAAATTGGAGGTTTTTTAATATATTTTTGAGGAGTGGGACAACTAAGTCCCATTGGTCAATTACGGGGTATACTTAAAAGTCCCTATCAGTAGCCGCTAATCTAAAGCATTTATAATCTATAAATGTATCAAAACTTATTTAAGCATTTAACTTAGGGACGTAATTTCAGGCTTTTTTCGGGTGCACAAGATTTCAAGCAGGTCATTTTGAAATTTCTCCTGCAAGCCATAATAAAATAGATATACCTACGTATATAATGTGCATTATCCTGTTTTCAATTGTTTTCTTACATCATGGTCTATGGACCAAATCATTGCACCAACATAAACAGTAAAAACAAATTCAAAAACTAAAATACAATAAAATAAATAATTAATTAATTACCTTAACAGTGAAAATCAATAATCGACGAATAAAAAGCTATAAGAAGAAATGTAGCTGCAAATAAAAAAAGTATTAAATGCATGTAATATGGCATTTATAAAATGTACAATTTGTGGTTATTTTTTTTAGTCTTCAATTTCAAAATTCCCTATGATATAATAATATACAACAGTAGAATTTAATATCGTATTTTTCACGTTAATGAAGATCTATCAATCTACCACCATATTTTAATATTTTTTTTAAATCAACCACCATGAAACTACTACATGAAAAATTATTTCATTAGTAAAAACTTTATCAATTACAGTGGCAACAAATGAAAGATTTCTTTCATCGCTCAAAACAGTAAAGTCATATTTACGCACTACCATGGGTTATCTATATGGTACTGAATATTGAAAAAATATAAGTTAACGATTACCAATCTAGAAGAAGCTGTAGATGAATTTGCTTAACTTAAAAACCACCACTGTCCGCTTATTTAAATTTAAAATATTTTATTTATTTATTTATTTTTTTTTTTTTGAGTATTTTGCTTTTACAAAGATTATAAGTATAAAAAATAAACAGCAATTTATAAATGCCATATTACATGCATTTAATACTTTTTTTATTTGCAGCTACATTTCTTCTTATAGCTTTTTATTCGTCGATTATTGATTTTCACTGTTAAGGTAATTAATTAATTATTTATTTTATTGTATTTTAGTTTTTGAATTTGTTTTTACTGTTTATGTTGGTGCAATGATTTGGTCCATAGACCATGATGTAAGAAAACAATTGAAAACAGGATAATGCACATTATATACGTAGGTATATCTATTTTATTATGGCTTGCAGGAGAAATTTCAAAATGACCTGCTTGAAATCTTGTGCACCCGAAAAAAGCCTGAAATTACGTCCCTAAGTTAAATGCTTAAATGAGTTTTGATACATTTATAGATTATAAATGCTTTAGATTAGCGGCTACGTTGGGCTATTCTTGTATCACAATGTTATTAAAACAGTTTTGGTAACCACTGTCTGCCATCTGCCTCACTTATCATCACAAATTCCTCCTTATCAATCACTAATTTGATTATCTACATACGAACCACGGTCTTAGTAGTGAAAAGAGAGTGGATGAACTGTGATAACACTTATCATGATACGTCTGGATTTTCACTATTTTCAGTCCGTGTACGCTTTATCTACACGGGCACCCGGGTATCTAGACTCAGCTATAATTATAACCTAATCTAGAGTTTTTTTAAATTACGCGGTACATCATTTTGGATTGTGGTTTCCATAGGTCAATGGTAGTTGGTTAGTGGTATAAAATCCATGTACAGATCAGTATTTTCTTATCAAATTTAAAATTTAAACTTTTCTACATTTTTTATGTATCAAGAATTGAAGTATTTGAAATATCATTTATTTCATAATTCATATTAGTTCATGTTACCTAGTACTTACAATATTGTTGTTAAGTACTAAAATATTGAAATTTAAATAGTTATAAATGTACTAATAATTTAATAGTTAGTAATCTCATATCTACTAATAATTAATATTACTAACTAGTAAATGATAAATATAACAAGTGGTTAAAATTCTGTAATTGTACCATATTATAACAAAATAATATTAATGCTAATGTTCAATGTTAATTTTATAAATATTGTTTATATTTTATATGTTATATTTCTTTTTAAACGGCAATTTTGGGTAATTATTGTTAACTATTTTTATAGTATTAATTTTACAAAAGTATCTTATTCAATTAACTAAACAGTTGTCTTCATTAATGAGTTAATAATTTTTATTTTTTATACTTACTAATCTTATTATTTTTTTTTATTATATTAAAGGATTTTAATTTAATATAAATAATCAGTATTAATTCAAACAACAATATTTATCATTTCTTGTTATTGAAGTCTTAATATTATTTATTACTTGATTTGTTCTTTCACAATGAATCAATTTTTAAATATACCAGAATCGTATAAAGACATCACAACTGTTGCTATAAAAGGATTGGGTAAGATAATATTTATTTATAACTTAATTGTACTTTTTAATAAGATACTGAAGTGGTTGATCAATGTTTAAATGAGATTTATTATTTTAAATGTTTTTTTTAGGAACTGATAATGACACAGTGATTTGTACAACAGATAAAAAACTTATGACGTTTTTTAAAGGATGTCTAATGAAAAATTGCAATGTGGAGATTGAAGTTAAACATTTAGAACCATTTCTTGTGTATAATGAACCTAAAGATGAAGTTTATTATATTTTACATGGAGACAATAAAGTTTTAATAGTCAAAGAAGAAACAAGTCTTAAGGTATAACAATTTAAAATATTTACATAGTCTAGTATGCTAACTTTTATTTGTATGATCTATATTATTTATGTTTTATTACTTAATTTATCTTTTTTTTTTTGTTACTTTGATATTTTTAGATTATTACAACATATTCCAATGTATATGAAATGGTTGTAAATGATCATAATAGTTCAGGAATACCTCAACTTTATATAAGAACAGACAAAGGTTTTGAATCGGTTGATATTTTTGATAACAAGGAACAAATTAGTAACATTCACCAAGAAACTTCAGTTGTATATACATTTTGTGTAAACAAATTACAAGTAATGTTTTTTAATTTTTTATTATAAATTGTATATTATACAATATGCTCAATTTTAAGGCACTCGTCAAAATTACATAGCTTTCTGGGTTAGCATTAAAAAATACTCAAAATGTATGTTATTTTATATTGATTAAATTTAAAGTTATACTTAACATATTAAGTAAGTATATCAATCAGAAAACACCTACATTAAATGCTGGTTTTCTTTTGTAAAATTTTAAAGTGATTATTGAATCATTTTTAATTGAACTCAGTTTTACAATATATGTATATTAAGGTGGTCCTTATTTTTGAACTTCATTGATGTTATATCACGGGCTCAAAATTTTGTTTGGTATATTGACAAAATAATTATAGTAAAATTTGAATGTGATAAGTCAATCTATTCACATGCCTCAAAGGGGTAGAAGTTCTATAAAAAGAGTTGAATTTTCTTATTTTGCGTGTAATTTATTTAATTTTATGGTTACGTAAAAAATTTACAAGACTGTTATTATAGTACTAAATATTCACAAAAAAAAAGTTATCTTGTGTTTTCTTTGTAAAATTGAAAGTTTTTTGTAAAATTAAAAAAAGACAGTCAAAGTTAATGTTACAATAAAATATCTAGGTTTTTAGTTTTTTAACTGTATTATCTTAAATATTAAAATTACATTAAAATACAAATAAAAAAAAAATATAGATAATGAAAATTGCAAATTTCATAGGTAAATTTCAACTGTAATTTAATATTATAATAATTTCACAATATTTTAACTTTAAGATGAAGTTAATAATATTTATTCTAGTTCTGAGAACGAAGATAAAGATATAGAAGAAATAGTTGAAGAAATACCTGATTTACCCAGACCATCAAAAATAAAATGTGCAAAACAAAATATTATTACACCTTGATTAGCATCTGCCATTGATAAATGCAAAATCAGTGATCGGGATGCTGTACTTTTATTAACAGCAGCAGCAGCAGAAAGTTTTAAGGTAAATAGTTCTGAATTTGTGGTAAATAGGACAAGTATAAAACAAGCTCGAGAAAATATTCGTAAACTAACATCGGAAATTATTAAGACTAATTTTTTAAATCTTAACCTAAATTTTGCAGTTTTGCACTGGGATTCTAAATTACTTCCAAGTTTATTAAATAGAGAAAATGTGGTACTATTATAGGGATAGACTCCCTATAATTATTACGGCTCCTAACATAGAAAAACTTTTAGGTGTACCTGCATTGTCCTCAGGTACTGGAAAAGAAATTTGTTTTGCTGTGCACAACACATTACAAAAATGGTGTCTATTGGATAAAGTCCAGGCTTTTGTATTTGATACCACTGCGTAAAATAGTGGTCGGTTAAATGGAGCATGTGTTCTTTTAGAACAATTATTAAATCGTAATATATTATTTTTTGCATGTCGTCACCATATTTTTGAGTTTATACTACAAGCAATTTTTTTTCACACAAAAATTATCGTCATTTCTGGTCCAGATATACTTCTATTTAAGCGTTTTAAAAATAATTTAAATAAGTTTAGAATATTTTCAACATTTCCTAGGTCACACAAAAATTTAAAAGCCGTGGCCGATGAAATTAATTTATTTTGTGTAGACAAACTCAAAGAACAATATCTAAGAAACAATTACAAAGAATTCATAGAGCTAGTTTTGATATTTTTAGGTGGAATACCACCAAATAGAATACGATTTCATCAACCAGGTCCTTACCACTTAGCACGATGGATGGCGAAGGCTATTTATTGTTTTAAAATATTAATGTTTTGTGATCAATTTAAGATATCAGCAAAAGAAATTAATGCACTTGAAGATATATGTTGCTTTGTAGTAGAATGTTATATTCAAGCATGGATTTCTGCTTCAAATATAATTATAGCTCCTGTAAATGACTTAATGTTTTTAAAAAAGTTATTTAACTACCACAATAAAAAGTTGGGAGAAGTGGCCTTAAAAAAAATTTGTAAGCCACTTGTGGTATTTAAACGAAGAATGTACTGTGTCTTCATTATTTGATGATCGAGTTGACAACAATACTAAACATTGAATGGCAATCAAAATTTTACAAGGATACGAACAAAATATAAACAAAGAACTAAAAGAAAATGAAGGATCAATTAAAAAATAAAACTTAAAATATGATGATATATCATTTTTTTCTCAAAGAAGATCTTCCATTTTCACTTCTTAATAATAATTTTTGGAAAGTATTTCAACGATTTAAAATATCAATACATTTTTTATGAGAAGATCCAAGCACGTGGCCAGCTATAATTGATTACAATAATGCAAAAGAAATATTATCTTCGCTGAAAGTTGTAAATGATACAGCTGAACGTGGGGTAAAAGTCGTAAAACTGATGGAAGAATACAACAACAAATTTTCTAAAAATGAAGATCAAAAACAATTTATATTACAAATATGAAATAATTATATGATTCTGTGATATTTATCTGTTTAAATAATATAATTAATAATAACTGTTTTAGGTTCAAGAATATCTCCAACAATATCCAGGGTTTACTCGAGAGATTTTAAAGAAAACTTATACCAATTAGAAATTAATAACCTTACATTATAACGCTAAATTACCATAATATTCTTTTTAACATAACATTTGTCAAAAATGAATATTTTTCATATGCATTTAAATAATACATATTTTGTAAAAAACAATATTATTATGTTTTTTCGCAAAAGGGTTAAAATAACTAATAAAACTTATATAACCTTTATTATAGAGAATTTTATATTTTATAATAGTACTATTATACAATTTTAATGTAACTTTAATATTTAAGATAATTAGTTAAAAAACTAAAAACTTAGATATTTTCTTATAACAAAAATTTTGACTGTCTTTTTTTAATTTTACAAAAAACTATCAATTTTACAAAGAAAACACAAGATAACTTTTTTTTGTGAATATTTAGTACTTTAATAATAGCCCTATGCATTTTTTACGTAATTATAAAATTAAAAAAATTACCCACAAAATAATAAAATTCAACCTTTTTTATAGAACTTATACCACTTTGAGGCACATGAATGGGTTGACTTATCACGTTCAAACTTTACTACAATTATTTTGTTAGCATACCAAACAAAATTTCGAGCCCATGACTACTATTTAAAAAAAAAAATTTTTTTACCTTTATAGCTAAGGACCACCCTAATATATATAATATTATTTTATCTAGAATTAATATACTTAGATAAACCTATCATTTAATAACAATCATTGGTTATTTATAAAATTAAATGTTTCTTATATTTGAATAAAATTCAAATTAATTATAGCCTAAACAATTAAGAAGATCCTATACCTGCATATGTTGTCTTATCTTATAAATGTATTGCATAGCATATTGTTGTTCAGTAGAACCAATTTTGTTTGTTTAAATTAAATGTTAGAGTGAGATGACATATTATCAAACTTAAAGTAAGAATTCTTACCTTAATATAATATTGAATGAATATTAACTGTATTGTATGTTTATAAGACAGACAACATATTATGTGAGTGTGGTGTCCTCCTAAGCTAGAAATAATATAAGAAATGTTAAAAAAAATAATTTTTAAACATCAAATAAGATCCAATAATTTGAATTTATTAAAAAATCTAACCACAGAGTTATTTACCATGAATTTTTTGTTTGTTTTAATTGGTTTTCTATTTTACAGCATTTAAAAACATTATATGACATAGAAAGAAATAAAATATCACAAAAAACTTCATCATTCATTAGTGCTGTAATGCAAGTGTCAAATGATGCTACTTCTGATGTTAAATTATTATCAAATGTTGTTACAAAAAATTCTTGGCTAAAATTATCTAATGAAAATCTTGTGTATGGATTTACTTTACAAAACACTTCAAAATTGTAAAGTATTATATAGAATTTATTCATTATATATATTAATGTAATTTAAACTACTTATGTCTTTTTAGACCTGTATCAAATTTTAATTTAATATTGTTAGAAAACAATAAACAAATTTGGTCAAGATTTCGATACGAATGTTGGGCTGTTGAAAAAAATAAAAGTGGGTTTAACTTTTATAGTGATCATGAAAATACTTGCATTTCCAAAAGTATTGAAAAAAGTTTTATGAGTTTGAATTCTGAAAGCTCAATCATACTTACAAGTAATAATAATTGTTTTATCGTAGTATGGTTCTAGTACTATTTATTTTTTAAATCTTATTTATAGTTGTCATTGATAGTTGGAATACTAAATTACTTCCATATTTTGTTAATAGTATGGTATACATAAATGACAAAAATTATGATAGTAAGTAGCAAGTTAAGGTATTTAGAATTATAAATAAACAAGTTAGTATATCTTATTCTTCTACATTCTTTTTTTTTTATAGTGATACAATACATTTATTCTGATAAAATTATGGTTACTGCAGACTTATTCTTGAATAAAGAATTTGATACATTTGTTAAAAATGGAATTTTTGGTAAGTGTATAACTGTATAAGGATATAAATTATTTTAAATTTTAAACATATCTTCAAATATTTTAATTAATTTTACATAATGTATTAATTTTCCATGGTTAAAATTAAGAATATCAGTTTAATTAACAAAAGTAGGTACATTTTTAGTAATTTTAATATTATTTTCATCATAACACATACTTAATAATAAACAGTTTTTTATTAAACTACTAATAGATTATGTTACATTCACATAAAAAATTATTTTATTGGGTAAAATATTGGTGATTTTTCATATTTAAAATTTGTATTAAAACAATGATAATATATTTTGTGGTGTATAATTTATTACTTATTATTTGAACGTGAATTAAGATAAATGTGCATTTAAAATTAAAACCCACGAATTCAATTATTTAGTAAATCACTGATATTTATTTAATGTGTATTTAAAACATAATACTTATTAAATTAAATTATGATATAATATGATATAAAAGAAAAATAAAAGGTTAATGATTGTCTTAAAAAATTAAAAGTATTTGTGCCTACTATTCTAATAATAAATATTTTATAAGCAGTATTATCGTAACAAAGCCCTGGTGGATTTCTGATTTAAAATAAATAACTGATGCCAATCATTGATATTAGAAACCATTGGAATATACTAAATCTATTGATAATAAAGTTTCATGCATAATAATAAATCCGTGTATAAATAAAAATGTGAAATTAAACGAAATAAATTCACTAACTTCCGTGAATTGAATTAACTTTTATTGTTAATCTTGATGTTATCTCTGATATTTAATTGCTACTTATAATAATATTTAGTTATAACTTATAAGTATTAATTATCTTAACACCAAACTATAACTATATTCTTGATCTTAGGTTCTGTAGTTTTTTTTTAAATTTATAATATTCATTTATTTAATACTTTTTAATTTACATTTTTATCTATATTTTATTATAGTTGAAGATTTAGTGACTTTACGTTGCACTAAATTGATTTCATGTTATCAAATCAAGAGTACCATGTGTCTTAAAGATCTAAAAAATATGATGATGAACAATTTTAAATTTGATATAAAAGATGATTGGTTTGTTCACAGTTCTTTATCATGGTTAAGAACGGTTGTATGCTATTTGGATCTAATATCGCCGTTAGAGTATGTTCTTAAAGTGTATTCAGAGTATGTTTCTTATTTAATTAAGTAATAATATATACAAAATAAAATATATTTAATTTGAATTAAACTTATTTTGCAGCTCATTGGGGTATACAAAAACATTTATTCAAGTACTGACTACAATGTTATGTGAACACACTATTATTAATTATCTAGATACTAAAGTACCAAAATCTTATAATATTGATACTGCTCTACTAGATTTAAGGGAACTCCGAAAAATTTTTAAAAGATATTTGAATAAAGAAATAATAATACCAAGAGATCAATGGAATATCACACGTTGTAAATTGGTAAGTACTAATTTAAAAAAAACTCAAACTTTATTTATTGCACTAAAAAGTGAACTTGATTGCATATTATATTAAGAATGTATTTATTTCTTTAATCTAATATTTGCAATTGTTATTTTTTTTTTTTATATATTTCTTAATATAACTGCATCTACAAAGTATTAGACTAATCTAAACTAACCTTGTCAAGAAGTTTTTAAACAAATTTTTTGTTTAATTATTATTATAATATAGTTTTTTGTTTATTACTAAAATATGCAAGCAGTAAAAAATGTCAAAAACTTAATAAATTATAATATATAGGTAAAAGATCAAATCAGTTTATTCACAATATAAATAATTAAACATAACAATATTCATAATCAAATCTAACAATAAAACTTAACAATAAAAATATATATATTATAATAATATGTTACATGCTCTGATATTCTAAAACAGTGGTGGTCAAACTACAGCCTGCGGGCCAACTCTAGCCCACTATCATTTAAAATTTGGTCCTCAAAAGTATTCTATATCACAAAACTTATTTGTATACTTATACCTAAAATTCTAATAACTTTAAGTTTAAGGGAAAACTTCAAATTTTAGGCATGGCAAAGAAAATTTTTTTTATGGCCTGAGGTTAAAAACATTTGGCCACCACTGTTCTATAACAATATAACAAGAAATAGTTAATTATGAAAATACTATGTATAATTAAGGGTAGACCTAGTATGTCTTGTACTCATATAGATATATGTTAATCGTAAATTATATAAGTAATGATTTATAATCTCATATATTATAAAATGCATTTCATATAGGAAAAGTGTAATTTCACAGTAGTTTAAACTAAGTAGATGCAGATGGCATAATTTTAATCTAAAGGATTTAGGTATGGGAAATACATTAATATATTATCAGACTCCATAAGATAATAGGATCATCGCACATAAGAATTAACTCAAGGACGCGTGAACCATGAGTTTATGGTGGTATACATTTCTTAACCAGAAAGGATATAGTCTAGAATAGTGAGAAAAAGCCTATTTAGGAGAGTCTGGGGATAGAACTTTTTGAGACATGATTTACAAGAGTTAGAGCAAGTTTCTGTACACCAGTTCTTGTTAGGATTTAACTATTTGGACTTGGAAATATTTTTAATTTCAAAACACTAAAAATATTTTCAATAAAAATAAAATATTTTTATAAATGTTTACTACTTATTTATTTTACCACAACTACTGCACAGCTCCATAAACAGTTGCCTACACTTGACTTACTATAAATAAATTGATTTTATTATTAAATAATTCATAATTACTGTTCAATTGAACTTAACTAAGTGTGTTTACTTAGTTAATTGTTATTTGATAGGTACTGTTAAATATAACTTATAAATTATTCTAACAATTAATATTTTAATTTTTATTGTTTTTGATGTATATGTAATACATTTAAATTCATTTTTCTAGGAATTTATAATTAAATGGGTATCATAATTAAATGTATTACATTTCTAATTATATATTAAATTCAAATACAACCGTTTCATTAGGTTTCTTAATTTTATTAACATAAAAGTTTAAAGTCATATTAAAATACTGCAATTAACATTATAACTCAAACAAATCATAAGATAAGTTTTTATATTATATTTTCATTACTTTTTACATTTTTAACTTGGAGAAAAATAAAATTTTATCTCTAGATTAAATAAATAATATACAAACAGAACAAATAATTATACATCAGTCATTTTACTTAACATCTATAATAATTAATTAATTGGACTGGCAAGATAACTAAGTATCTACAAATAATTATTATATTATGTGTATATTTTTTAAACTAAGCTTTAAAGTAATTGTATAACTCAATTATGAACATTTAAAAAAATAAAATAATGAAATAATTGAAGCAATTGAATATTATTTTCATAGTATTATTATTCTTAATTTATCAATTAAATTTGTTCCCATTTTACTTTTTTAAATTTATTCAATGAAAATTATTTAAAGTTTTAATAAACGTCATGTTTGTCTATATTTAAATTTGTTACTATGTATATCAAAGAATTAATGATTATAAAACATTTAAGTTCTGAAAATAGAATATCAGCTCACTATTTCTCTGACTGACCTATATACAAAATAGTAAATTTGCATTTAGCAGAACCAATCTTATGAGATAAGCTTTAATTTTAGAGAATTAACCTTGTTATTTAAAGTGAATTGACCTATTATTAAACTTTAAATCAAGAATATTATATGTGTTTCCATGATATATCAATCTCACAAGTGTATAATATTACATGTTCATATAGATATATCACAGAAAAATTAAATTATCATAAAATAACCAATGTACAAACACAGATAATATTCTTAAATTTACGTTTGATATTATATTGATTTACTCAAATATTAAGGTTAGTAACAGGAAATTGGATTTACTGAGCTTAATAATGGTATATTGTGATTGCACATAGATCAGAGACAGAAATTAAATGATGCATTAACATCCTCTTATGTATAAATTGATATTGATATGTATATAAAGCTTATAATACCATATTTAAAATTAATTCTTAATAATAGGCATTAAATTAATCTATAATTGCACTCAATCCAGCCTCATATGAAAATATATTTTCACATTTTTTTATTTACAGTTTTTAAATACATAATAATATAATATTATAATAAATAATAATAATACATATCTTATTATTCTATTTTAGTTTCATTTTGAACACATACATTTATTTTTATGGTTAAACAGTTAAGGATATACAAATTTAATGTCATGTGATTCCTTTGTTCAAGTGTATTACTACTTAATTGAGAGACAATAATATTTTTAATTTTGTCGTTTCTTTTTTAATTTTATTAGTATATAATAGATATTTTCAATGTTTAATTTAATTTTAAAATAAATTATTATATTGTAGTCACTAAGTTAATTAAGAGTATTTTCAAGATTATCAATTGAGAGTATTTTAATCATTATTATTCATCATATTTAATAAGAATATATAACTTAATAGAATGTTACTGTGTAAGTTAATATTAATAGGTATTTATTATGTTAATGTTTTAAATAAAAATGTCTTTATCAAATGGTTTATTTTCAAAAAATTATTCTTAGCAATTTAATAAGATTACATTTAACTGATAATGATATTGATATTGATTTTTGATCAATTACGAACTTAATATAAAAAAAAAAAAAAAAAAAAAAAAATGTTAAACATAGTAATTCACGAATTTTCCAAATTTCGCAATTTACAAATAAATCTAATGTTTGGTTCTTAACTTAACTAATTAAAAATAAATAGATCAAAAACTATATCTTTGGATAAATTATGATTATTGATTACCAATCACAGTAATTACGGTCTGTACGTGTTTTAAAAAATTTGAAATCTGTGTCTATGCTTTCTGCCCCAGATTCATCTGTATCTAGACTAGTAGCCACCACTTTGTTGAGAGATTCATTAGATTCAGTACTAAGATACCCGGAGTCTTCATATCTGTTTTGATCAATTGGCGAACTTTTGACAGCTTGTTTGTCAGAAGCACCAGCCATAATATCGTGGGTTCGCCGGTTAAATTTTGAGCTAGCGCAATCGGATTGCATGACTCCGGGTTTGCTAGTGCTTCTGACACAAACGTTTTTTGGAGGTTTTTGTAAAGATAAAGGCGATGGACACCTTTGCCTTCTACAGTGTTTTGGATCTGGTTTTAAGTATTTGGCCTCGAGTTGGCTCATATGCCTTCTCTTTTGCACATCAGCCATGACATTCTTGGCTTCGTATATCTCTAATAAACTACCAAATCCATTATTATTTATGATTTTTGGACTATTGAATTGTTCTAATGAGTCTGAAGAGTATACTGTTTTCAAATTTGGTTTTGTTTTTGTGCAGTTTCTATCTAACGTATCTGGTTCAAAACTATCCGAATCTTCTGCTGGATGATTGTCGGGACAGTCTTCAACTTCAATGGTTATTTGACCTGGACTCTTCTTTTTAATTTTTTTATCCAATGAATTATTAGGTGACATGCTAGTGTTAAAATTATCGTTTACATATACTTCACTAACTAAACTATAACGTTCAGATGACCTATTTAATATATCGGGTAAGATTTCTTTTTTGGGTTTTTCTCGTATACAGTCCGGACCAGATATATGTTCATAAAAGCTTTCTCTTTTTGTGATAGTATCATAAGTATATGTGGTTTTAATTGTAAGTTCTTCTTCCATTGGTAATGCAGAATTACTTAAAACTGGACTTAGGTCTGGTCTTACAAATCCGTACTCAGATGGTGTATGATATCCACATTTTCGTTTATAATCCATTGATCTTTCTAAACTATCGCACTCTATGTGAGTACTCTCTTCCTCGTCATCGTCGTCATCAACGTATTTTTCTTCGTCTACTAATTTTTTTTCTTCTTCTACTTCTTCTTCGTCAGTTTTTGATTTTATTTCGTTTTCCTTAAGTAGCAAGTCAATTCCATCTTTTTCGTCAACTTTTTCTTTTAACTCAATGGGAATACAAGGAGCTTGGTTTTTTTTTTGCTTGGTAACTTCTATAGGTACATTCATCAACCATTTTTGTATTGTGTCTGATTTAATTTTAAATTGAGTTTTGCATTTATTACAAGAACTTAATGATTCATTTGTGTTTTCATTTGCATCTTCTAAAATCATAACGAGGTTTGGTATGAACTTTTTCATTGTTATTTTTCTTTTTGCTTCGTGTATTACTTCACGAATTTTTTCTAAAAATTCTAACGCTGCTGGCGGAGGAGCCTAAAAATATTATTTTTATTTTTAAAATTATTATACTATTTATATTTTATTTTATCTATTAAATGAATTAAAATAAATCATATTTACCATTAATAATTCAAGTTCAAAATAGTCAGGATTGAAATAAAGTTTTTTTCTTGGATTAGCACACACTATCGATCTAATATTATCCGGTCGATCTTCTTTGTTATCTAGTGTTTCTACAATTGAAATGTCCTCTTCTGGATGCTTTTCTATAGAATTTGAATCTGAATAATACATTGAATGGCCAATACATGAGTTAAACGACTGAACAGGATGTACAATAGCTGTTGTTAAATTTCTCTGTAATAATATATAAATTATAGACATCAATTAGATATATTATTAATTAATTTTACATTTATTTAGATAAATTGTTTTTAATTCCCATTGATTTACTTACATTAATATTATTATTTTCTATCATATCCATAGAAGATTCTCCTTGTGTATTTATACTATAATTTCTGTCTTCATCTGACTCAAAGGCCTCGTTATCATTGTAACTGTGTTGTAACAGAGGGTTGTTTTTTACTATACCCTCTTCAGTAATACCGTTCGACATTAATGGATTTTTAAACGCCTCTATATCTCCATTTCGTCCTTTAGGTCGCCCTTTACGGACATGCAAATACAACAAAATAGACGCTACGTACATTAGTCCTAACAGAATTGAACAAATTGCCACAGCTATTAGTTCGCTTATTGTTAATCCTGAACTTGAAGCATTATCCGATGAACGATTGTCAGTTGAAAATAAAACTTCTTTTACACCTGTTGTAGATCAGCATATTTATAAAAATACATTTTATACGAGATTACTTAATTTTTTAATTATTTTTAATTACTTGGAGTTCCTGCTATTCTAAACGAAAGGCAAGGTGTTATGGCTTGATCAAAACTGCTGTCATAATCTTGTGATAATGTTTCTTTACAAATCATTTCAATCAATACTAGCCTCCCTTCAATGTTGGTCCTCGATTGTAAATCACCTAACCACTATAAAATATATTCAATATATTGTAAATAATTGTAATACATTTTTCATATATGCTAAAAATTTAAAATAATAGTTAGGTAATAGGTATACTAAACTATTCATATTTATTTTTTTTTTATTACAAAATTATTTTATATTAAAATAATATAAATATACTTAAGAAATATCCGTTTTACATTAAAATGATGAATAAATTTAGAATACGTTTTTTATCTAAGAATATTTGTGAACTTATCTAATTTACAAATCAATGTTATATATAACCGTTTTAAAGAAATCTATGCTGATTTTTTTATCACTAGTATTCTTAATATATTTTTTTTATTTAAACCGAATTACTTATTGAAAAAATATACAAAAAAGGAAGTAAAATAAAATAGTTTAATAATAATATTATTTTAAAATAAACATTTAAATAACTTTCTCATTAACTCAACGGGGTATAATTGAGATAATTTGTTTGTTAAATATTCTTTGATAAATATTATTGTTATAACTTGCAAGTGGGTTATAAAAACAAATAATTCTTGATGTCAAAACTTCAACAATTTTAGTTTTTAAAAAGCTAATAATAAATCATAAAATATTATAATACGATATTTTTTTTATTTTAAACTAGAAATTATTTTTCTATTTTTGAATTTTGAATTATTAAGCAAGTTGAAAACCATTTATCAAACCGCTGTACATTCCTATAAACATAATTGTTTATTGTTGCTCTCTTACCAGTTAATAAAAGAAGAAAATCAGGTATACTACTAGATCTAATCTATTTACATAATAATCGTGTATCATTGTATGCATTTTAAATCCCCCCATATTGTCGTAAATTGAAATAATTAAGTAAAGCAATTTTATTTATCTCACTCTTATGATTATTTAATGTGTGTGTATAATATATGTACATTTATATAACACTATAATAAGCTACACGATTTAATTTTTTAAAGTAGATATTTGTTAATAACAAATTGTTATTTATTTTTATTGATATGTTATAAATTATAAATATATTAAATAGAGTTTGTCAATAATAGAAAATAATTATTAATGAACTTACTAATAACATGATATGTCCATTTTCGCGGTGTATTTGGAAAGGAATTTCGAAGTCTGATTGATTTTTAAAATTTATCCAACCTCCTCGTGTTAGATATGTCGCTTTTGAAATAGCACAAATAGGATATTGCATACCTGTAAAATAATAAAATATTATAATTATATGATTATATAAATTATTAATTTTTTTAATAATATTCTACTGTTTACTGTTTACTAAAATTTAGTATAGTTGTATTCATTTAATAAATCTTAAGTTATAGACGTTTTTATTTTAATAAAAATAAAAAAATAAAATATAGATTAGATATTAAAATAAAAACACGTGACAACTTAATATACCTATTTTATAAATCGTTTGTTTTCAATGGTGGTTAAAACTTATACTGGTCGTGAGCTACAAATTAAAATTGATTTTAGTTATAATCTGTTTAAAACTAAAATAATACACAATATATATTATATCTTTAAATTTGTATACATAGTAAATATTAAATAACTATTTACGGTTGTATTTTTGTATGGTAAATATTAAGTGAAATATATGCCACGAGGCTCTGTAAGATACTAAAATAACGAGTAGATACCACGTGCAGAAATCAACTTGGTTATTTGAATCCAGATGAATAAGTTCAGTTAAAACGTTTTAAAAATAAATATTAATGACTACAAAAAACGCGTACCTATACTATTATACCTTTAGGATTGACACGTCCATTCATATGTATAGCACGCGTGTAATTTTAACATCAATAAGAAAAAACTTATAAATTATCATGATTATGTTTTTGACTTATAAATATTTTATATTTGCATATATATTCCTTTTCAATAAAACATTATATGTATTGTTATAAGTAACATTAATAAACAAAATTTTTTTATTATTTTTAGGATAACTAGATAGGTAAGATACATGCAGTCATACAGACTTGTATTATATATAAAGTTGTACAATGTACATAATATTATCTTATTAATATAACGTTTATGTTTATTTAAAAATAATATAATGTTCTGAAATAAAAACCAAATTTTTGTTGATCCGCCGATGATGAACCATTACTGGTATACAATAGTATAATATAATACATATCAAATTTAGGTTCAGTAGTTTACGTTTAGCTATACGTTAGTAGTAATATTAGTGTGAATTGAACTGATATCAAACCTAAAAATAATAAAGTTGTCTATTTTTGGTTTATAGAATATTTTCGATATTTTAATCTTAAATCAAGTTATAAGAGTATGAAATACTAAAACTTAAAAGTTCTCATAACTCTTCTAGTGATTATCCAAAAATTGACCTTACAAAAATCACAGACAATAATTATGTTACTTTAGGTTTGATAATTGATTAACTAATTTAATAATAAACTAACGAAGCTTAACGATAACTATTGAGCAAACATTTTATTTTACTTGTAAGATAGAGAAAACAAAAACGGATGAAACGTTCTCCAAATATTAACTAGTTTATCGCAATGTCTAGTGTTCACTATTAACACTGCACATTCTACAAGACGTATGAGCCAATAAAAAATAATAATAAAAGTCTAATAAAAAATGTCCCTATACAATTATATTTGACTAAAAAGAAATATAATCAGCCGAAATAGTACTATGCAATTATACTGCGTGTTTAATGTTATCATCAATTTTATATTCCTAGTATAAACATGATCCGTTTAATTGGTTGAATATGTATTTATTAGGAAATGGTTGTAAAACTTGTATTTTTGTGCTTTTTATGCATCTATTTTGAAACAAAAATTTATATTATATTATCCAAAATAAAATACGTACCAGTAATTTTAATTTCAGCACTAGGGTATACAATTTGTCCTTGTAGTGGTAAAAATACGTAAGGTATCTTTTGTATCGTTGTGCCAGACACGAATGAAGCTAACGAACATTCTGTGAACAGTTAAACAATAAACAGTATTTTTAAAACAAATATCTTAAAGACGTGTTTAGTGTATTTGTGTATTAATTATAAACTCAGTTGTTATTTAGTAAATAATATTTACGAACCCTACTAACTGCTAACTAGAATCTACTTTAATATAAAATACATATAATTTACGATTTTATCGTCATTTGGTAATGACGAAATACAAGTTGTACGTATAATAATTTAATAATATAAATGTATATTCGAATGATAATAAGTAATTTTTTTTTTCAATAATATATTTTTCCTCAACTATTATTACCCATTGATTATTTAATTACAATTTTAAGGCGCAGAAAATTTGTATATTAATGGAATCTCGAAAAGTTATGATATGTGCGTGTTGTTTTCTGTATATAGTTTAAGTCGAAGTAAAAATTCTGATTAACGGGTCATCAGCCTCCGTATAGGTATATAATATAATAAACAAGCCAATAAAATAGGTAGGATTACAGGCAATGCATAAATGTATTTTTACGACCCAAATTAAATGTATATTCTACAGTTAGTCATTCACAATCGGTGGCTATATATAAATATACATTATAATATATATAATGTCGTTTTTAAACATTTTTTCTTTAAATTACTGTGTTGAAGTCGTAAGAAAACAAAAATTAATAGCTTTATTATCGAATAAGACGTTAGTTAACTTGTATGTTTCCAAAAGTAACTGTCGTTCGAAGGTGACATCTTTTAAATGTGATTGAAAACACTTATTTTGTTATTAATAATTGTTGTCAAAATGTACAATATGGAAAAATAACAATAAAAAATTGAGAGCCTATAAATACGAGTATATACTAATTTTTTATTTTGTTTATTGTCAAAAATTTGTTTTAAAAATAATATTTTTGTATTGATAATTCATTTTGAAGTGTGTAACCGATATAATGTTTAATGGGAGTATTAACCTATCTATTTAGTATTTGTTGTTTATATCGTTTTATGCACTACTTTTAATTAATCGATGTGTAATATTATCGTAAATATTTTAATCGGAATCAATTCGTGGAAATATTTGAAGCTTAATATATCCATGTATTAAACTGTTATAAGTTTTTTTTTCTTTAAATATATTGAAAGTTATAGTTTACATCTCTTGGGTACGATTTCGATAATCACATCTCAGATAATAGCATATTATCAATTTTATTTGGTACAATAATGATTGTGTAGCTTTATTTAAAAAAAAAGAAACAACATATTTGGACTTAATATTTTACTCTAAAATTTTTAAATGGTTACATAATTTAGTAAGCTTAAAGCGTAGTTTGGTATTCGTTTTAAATAATTAGATAATAATGCGAGCAAAGAATAATTTAGTTAAATGAAAAAAATCTCAAACTGTTTAATAGTAAATAGTAATAGGTTATCATTCACGATATCGAAAATGTATTCATGTGTCTAACTTGACAAGTTAACAATCGAAACTATAATTTAAAAAACCAACAAAATATCTAAATCCAAAAGAAATATCGCTCTGACTGGGAAAATATTCAAAATGAATTCTAGATAAATTACGAATGAGGACTTGTTGTTTGGAATGCGTAACGAAGTTCATTATATACACTGTATATTATACAGCGTATAATTGTTATTATTATACATTTAAATTATGGGTCAATATAGCGTCATCTGATTTGGTTACGGTTTCGGTTTTTGTATACTAAATGTATATCACGAATTTAAATTTTAATACAAACACAATTTTTCGGTTTTAATATATGCAAAATTTAGGTATACACTTAGTATAAATTATAAATATAATTATTTTTAAAATCATGAAATTTTCATTTGCTGTTAAATTGTAGGTAGACAAAATAATAATTTGGTTAAAAAGAAACAAGAGACTTATCAAGAGTATTTATACCATATTAAATGAAAAATCCATTAAAATAATATTTCAAAAGACAAGATTTACTTACGATTATTTAAAAATGTTGCGTTTGTAGTTTATATATTCGCATTGTATATGCAAACATATGATATAACTTAATTACTTGGATTATAATACAAATTCGATATTCAAATTTCGGGACAAAAATACGACTAAAGTTTTCAAATTGTAATATCTCTCATTATTCGTCATCGTTTCCATGTGTTTTAATTATTTTTTTAAAATTCTAGTGATTTTTTTCGAAATCATATATAACTATTAAAAACTGAATCGCTCGGTTTGAACACAAACATTTTTTTTTTTTTTAATGTCGACGTATATGATAACAAATCAATAATTGATTCACATTAGATTCATCTAATCTATGTTATTAGGTTAGCGTTGCTATATTTTAAAATATTTTACGTCTTCCGTATACATATTGTTTCTCTTCAGATATTCGGATTTCTCTCTATACGCATGTTGGTATATAGGTAACACGGCTGATTTAATTTTTCACGGTTTATTTGCTCACTGTCAGATAAAATGTTACTTTATTATTATTATTATTTTTTTTTGTTCGTATACGAAACTAACAATTGGCGGCAACGTTCAATAAGGTACACCATCGCCCGTCGCTATACAATAATTGTATTATTGTACGCGCGTGAAAGAAAATGTCGCACGTTTATAGTATAGACATAATATAGTTTATACTATTACTATATATAGTTATGTCGTTATGATTAATAAGTATTGATCTACAGTTTTGCAGAGTAGATTGGGAAAAATAAAAATTTTATTAAAATAAAGAATCTATATTTGTAGTAAAGTATATATTCCTATATTCTAAAAAAATAAGTTTTGCAGTAAAGTAAGAAAAAACGTATGTTTAAGATCAATTTTCATTAACGCTTATTAGTATTGAAGACAATATGGTTATGTAAATCAAAATGTATTTATCATTAACATAGGCTCTTACTTATTTTATATAATTTAAGTTTAAAAAATTGATTAGTGAAAATTTCATTGATAATACGTGGTGTGTAGCCGTGTAGGGACGTGTTATGTTAATGTTCACTAAAATACAAAATCCAACTCGACGGGACGTTACAGCAGTCATAAATTGCACTTACCTTGCAGATCATCGACGCATATCCGTAAGTCATCCCTGAATACGGGCACAGGTTGTATACACTGACACCTGCAATTGCCATTTTGTAACGATTCTGTTGACGTTCCAGTCGATTGTTTGTAGCCTCTGCTGCCGACCGATGACGGGTAATCGCGTTCTACCGACACGATACCGTCGACCAGCGACGCTGTACCGCTGCTTACACCAACACAAGTTTCCATCGAACATTTCACGTCTGTGGAAAAAATATTTGATTAAAAAACGTTCGTCTTTTTCGGAATTGTTAATTTTTTTTGTTATTGAAGGGGTTGTAAGTGAGGTTTGAAACATGGGTATAGTAAAAAAATATCATTTAAGACACGTACGTTCATGAACCAATTTGTTACATCATTTGAAAGTTTACAACTTGTATTATAATTTCAAAAATTTCATAACATTTATGAATTACTTAATATAAATTAGTATAATCGTTTCGGTATTATTATTTATCGAATATTTTAATAGTGGAATAATATTGTCGGTGAAATTTTCACTTTAAATATTATACAAGGAGTTTGCTGCGGGTTTAAATGGTTCTCTAAAAAGTTTCTTTCCAAATGATATCCGCAATGATGGAATGGACTTTTATAAATTCACTGTATACATTTATTTGGATCATTTATATCTAGGATCATAACTGTGTTAGTGTTATATAACACGAATAGGATATAAATTTAGCGAATACGAATGCAAATTGCTCGAAGAAAGGCATATTGAAGTTTTAAAACAGTTTAAATTCAAATGTTTGATTACAAATTCTTGGATTTATGTTAAGACTTAAGACTTTATCATTTTTTAAATTAAATTAATTAATGACTGCTAATAAAATTTATGTTTTTTGTGTAATTAATACCTATATACACTTGTAAAAAAATAATAATAGTGGTTATCGACTATCATTACATAGTATTTTTTTTTATTTAATATTAATTATAATGTTTATATAATGTAAATGAAATTTATTCTATAGACTTTATATGAATAATATTAATTATAGCTAGTACAAATAGTACAGTGTAAAATTAAAATTGAACTAAGATCTCGAGTTACGAGAGATCCGTTTTATACAAATGTAATATTTTTTGAGTTTAATTAGTTGAAAAAATTTGTTTCTTAGTTCATATAAATATGCTTCGAGGTTCAGAAAACATATCATTTACATCTGTTGGAAATTAGATTAAGTGGGTATTTATTAATTTTTTTTAATTTCTCAAACTTTTCAAGGTTTTAAATGTTGGAAAAAATCACTATACTTTACGTTTTGAAAACGCGTAATATTAATAGTTATTGCTTCTCTGTTTGTTAGTACGATAACACTAAACACACCTGTATCAGGCGTTTTTCTGATACTTAATACTCATATTATAATATAGTATATTATAAGTACAAACACTGTAACCAGTTATATGATATAGTTATATTTTATTTTTATTTATACGCCCATTTATAAAGAATGCCCGCCTTTTTATTATTATTTTTTCTATAGTAAACATTCTATTATTTCTACACTGTTATTAAAACTGATAAAACCTTCTTAATAGCTTATTCGAATTTTATAGATAATAGGTATATAGTTAAATATTGTCAGTTTTTAGACGATACACATCTAATTTTTACACGACTATAATAATTATTGTCATACAATACTCAATCCTATGATGTATAATTTTTGGCATCCACTGACTGTGGATTACTGTCATTCTTTATTGAGATTAATCTGTTTTAATAATTAACCGATACCGTCGCGTGCCATTCGCTGTCCATATAATATTATATTAATAACAATAATTATTAACAACGGTATAAGCCTTCAGGTATGTTGTAAAACTTGATGTTATGATTAACATGGGTTTGAATAATTTATTGTGTTATTGGTACAAACATGACGGCTCATCAAAGTAAACAATTTTTTAAATAATTGGTTTGGAAAAAAAACCTATGTAGGAAGTTGATGACATTATTATCTATTGTTAATAATTAATAAATATAAATATCGTATCATTTTTATCATTTTGTATTTTAAATATAGTTTTTAATTGGTTTTTTTTTTTTTTTGAACTATCATAACAATTTATTTGGGAGTTTTCCGTAACCGCCAAAATAATATAACTTGTTTTTGCCATAGCCCTTTTCTGCTAAAAAAGAAAAGGGTAAGATTCCCGTTTCTGCTAAAATTTATTTTTGTAAAAAGACGTTTCCGCCAATTACTATTTGAGAACCATGTACAAATGTTTCATATTGTTATCATATGAAAATATTCTTATTACGTATTATAAATTATAACACGTAATAGATAATAAGTAGATAATAATAACTCATTATTCGAATTTAGGTACAGTTAAATTAGAGTTTATAAACAGGTATTATACAATGTCATCTCACATATCTATTGTATTTAAATATTTTGATATTTCAAATTATAATACAAGTAATAATTATACTGTCTTAAAAATATAAATTATAATACAAGTAGATGATAATAATACATTAGTTGAATATAGGTACAATTAAATTAAAGCTTTTAAATAATATTATATAACTGCATATCACATATTTCGATATTTTATATTTATACATACTACAACATATATTGTTTAAAATTAAAACCATTGGTTTTCAAAGATTTTTTGACGGAAACGGGAATCGTATCTTTTTCGTTTTTGGCGGAAACGGGTCACACCTATTAATTTTGGGGGATTTTTTTTTGTTATTGTTCATAAATATAATACACAACATTAGGGTTTTAGTCGAAGAAATATGGGTACGTAATTCATGTAGATTAATTTTGAAAAAGTATCTTTATACTATTAAAAAATTCTTTAAACAGAATCATTAACATTTTTTATTAAAACGTTAATTATTGAATATACTCATTAAAGTATCACCAAATGTAGTATTTATTCGTAGTTAAAGTATTATTTGTCACGAAATCGACCTAGCTATTGAGTATTAGGTTATGGGGAAATAATTTAGTAAAAACTAATAACAATAATAATAAATCGACTGTAAATTTATTCGGATATTAATATTATAAACCTTATACCCGCATTGATAACTAATATTTGGTATAATATCTGACCAACTGTCGTTATCATGATTTACTGTGAGCTACCGCTGTGAGGCTACAGATATTTTAGTTAGTTATCTGTATATTATATTAAAATGATTTCACAAAATTGTATAAGTATTCACACACAAACGTTTATCATAATATATACGAGTAATACACGAAAAGGTCGCACTTTGACGAATATCTCAGTATAATATACCGACGTTTAGTTTTTTTTTATTAATCGATTTGTCGGCACGTCGTGGTTGTCTATGCTCAACAGGCTGTGGGTTTTTCAACCGATTATGATTGTGTTAAATTAATGTGATGTGCGAGCACAACACACCTCGATATTTATTTTACGACCGTAATTTTATAATATGTTTTATACGTTGTTCTAAAATCGTTGTCGTTTGTATACGCACACATATATTTTGCTTACTTTTGAAATTTACGACCCATTACTCCGTTATATTATTATTATTATTATTATGATTCAATTCCGCGGCCAAGGCAGTACATATTATTATACGTATAACACGCTCCCAAAGAGCCAATCCGCCATGCAGTCCGTCGAAGTTGACTACGTCACGACGCAGATAATATCAGACTAAATTATTATATTATCCGTTTTTAAGCAATTAATATAAAACCACATGTATCGATTTATTATTTTTTGATCAAAATTTTTAACTAAATTGAATTTATATTTTAAAAAACTTGATAAGCTGACAATTTTTTTAAAAAATATTTATACTAATTATTCTTATAAATCGGCTAATAAAATTATTAATTGTTTTGAATTCAAGCTAAAAGCTTAATGAATGTTGTTTTTTATTATAGTTATATCTACTTTCAGCAAAGTTTATGAAATAGAATGCGCATTATTTTGAGTTTGGAAGGTTTGTGTTGTTTGCTGATATTTTTTTGATAATTATTTATTGCATTAAGTGTTATTATCCCATGATCAACAATTACCTTACTCTACACTTAAAATTGTATATTGTTTTTTTTTTTTTTTATACTTTATCATATAGTTTATAATCATAGTTAATATACACACTACTCTTCCAAAATTATTATCATAATATTTTTATTATATCGACCGATAAAAGGTGTATCAAAGGAATGGCTTGATCTTAATTAGGTTAGCCGTCATCGCTGACCTTATATAAATGTATAAAGAGTAATACTAAAAAATTAAAAAATTATGAGGATTATTTGCCAGCTAACGGATTTATTTTTATTATTTCAACTAAGTGTGTAATAGACGTATATCGTAAAATATAGTAATTAAATATTTTATTATTTACTTATACAATTCATTACCTATATATACTATTTAATTCTAACATACTATACTTATTTATTAGTAAAATACAGTATTATATGTTATTATATGTGTCTCAGTACCGTTTCGTAGTTATTTATATTTACTTATAATCTTTAATGGTTATAGTGATTAAATTTATTATTTGAACATCCCTCAATAGTCAAATGACTAAAAACAAAAACTCACTGGAATTTTTATTATCCTTGTTCATGCAACAAAACGTGTTTACACACATCAATTTTATAAAATCACAGAATTGAAATTTTCTATTCAAACATTTAAAACCTAACTGTAGAAAAATAATATTTTTAACGAAATGCCAGGGAAATATCTTATTTCTAATATTCATTTGAAAACCAAAACTGTTTACTACCAATACCTTTTTATTATATAACAAAACAGTAGCTGTAAAGTTTTGTTTCAAATAAATATATATGTGTGAATGATGTGATATTTATGATGCAACATTATAATATATGATATTAGTGGGTAAATAAAATTGAAATAATATGATTACAATTCACAATAATATTAATATTCATAATTTTACAAATTATTTATTATGAATATTTGAGTAGGTACGACTCAAGTGAGTCTAAATTAGAGGTTTTCCAACCAGTGCAGGATTTTCAATTGAATAAAGGTCGATCGCAATACGATTTTATCAAATCAATGTATTTATTCCAGTCGATCACATTCATAATCTAAATATTTACGTAAAAAATAATATCGATGAAAATTTAATCAACGGAAAATTTCTGTGAAACTTTCTACGTTATGCCATAGTACCTTAGTAATTATAGTGATACTGACACATTTCACGATTGCTAATTGTTATATTATATTTTTAAGTAAAAAAATAGTTAAGAGTAAATAAAATATATAAATAGTGGTCGATCATTAGAAACTTGAAATGTAACTTACAACTTATACTACAGTTTAAAAAAATTGATGATTTTTGCAAGTTTAGACTTAAAGACTCTCCTCTTTTCTTAGTTGTGTCACTGTTAAATAGTATATTATTTTTAATGTTTAATGTGATTCGTGTTCATCGAAATCGTTAACTCGGGGCACGTAACCAGCCATATAGGTATATACATATACTTACGCATACCGTTTCTAAATCCCCTTTTATAGAAATACGACTATACTACACCTTCGTAACCACTAACCAATATATAAATAATTAATATTAATTAGTAATAATTTTATTTTTTGTTTGCTACGCAGTTGTTTACCTGACACGTCGAACACGTCTCCGCGATGATGCCGTGTGATGGAAACAGTGGCGGAAATGGCATCCAACAGGAGCGCGATAAAGAACGCCGTCATTAACGCCGGCAAAGGCTGCGAACGAGACGTCATCACACCTCGTGTCGTTGATGTCCGTGCACGCTGCCCTGCAGCACGCGTGACGACGACGACGACGACGATAACTTTTGCCGTCCGTTCTTCTTCAGCCGGCACCGTCGCCGCACTCGTCCTCCATCCGATCACCAACGTCCGCTGCCGATTTATCTTCTATACATCGTCGGGAAACACGATAAAAACAAAAACAAAAAACAATCAATATAATATCGTTCGTCCTCCATTTTGTATTGTTGAATTTTGTAATTAGAATTTACGTGCCATGATGTGTCATATTATATTATTGTGAGTTTTAAAAACAATTTACGTTTTATTACTTAATTATATATAAGTACACGTATATAATATAAATATATAAGTTTATCGAATAATTTGAATACATATTATACCTATACATCTCCACGAAGTACGGAATAAAAAAATAAAAAAATTTTATTTAATAATATATTTATTCAAGTTTTGGCTCTTGTAGGTAATGTTCAAATATATTTAAAATCGTATCATTTTAAATTCTTGAGTTTTTTTGTACTACTTAAACAGTGTTCTATGTAATGACTACTTTTGTTTTTTAAACAAAAATTTTCTTTTTTTACTATTTTAATTTAAATAATTTAGAGTTTATTTACAAAAAATATAATATACCTAGATGTATAAGTAATTTTTGTTTTATTAAACTAGACCCCAATTTTATCGATTATAAATATTTTAAAATAATAATTAACAATAATAATTTTTGGTAATATTAATTATCAAAAATTTTAAATTACTATAGCTTCCTTATTTTCCAAGCTCATTACCACGAACCTATTATCCTTAATAAATAAAGTTAAATAATTTAAAAACTACTTATTAAAATTTTGATCTTAATATAACAAAATTCAGCAAAATTATCCGCTAAATATTTTACAGTGGCAAAGGTGGTTATCATTTGAAAAACTAAAGTTTGTATCTCCATAGGATACTCTTTAACAGCAGCAACAAAATCTCGAGAATTTAAAAATACGGTTTTAATTTAAAAATAAAATTCCTAATATCAGTTTTTGATAACTTCATCATATAACGATAAAAGGGCGTTAGCATGTTGATGAATCACCTAGTTAGTATATAATATACATACATATATTAATATATATTTTAATGTTTGAACCAGGTAAGGACAATCGGTCGTTAATAAAAATTTCTATAATTAACAATTATTCGACTTTTAAAGTGTTTACATAATTCAGATCATCAGATCTACAAATTGGGTATTTCAGATACTAACAAATTACGAAATATTTTAATATATTTATTTAGAGCTTGAGCTGAGCTAAAAAATTATACTAATCCTAGCTCTCTCTATATGTTTTTTTATAACTGCGATACGATGTACTAAAATTTTATTGAAGTATATTTTTTTTCGTATCATAATGATTATTAAATACTTCAAATATTATTTAAATAGGTTTTTGGTATCTACCCACTAATTAAAAGTATGAGTATTAAGTACAATTTTTAATTAATATCTTTATACCTACCATGGTTTGTTGAATATATTAAAATACATTAAAATTACCCTATATTTATATTATATTTGTAAAAACATTATGTATAATTATTATTCATAATATTATTATTTCTTTAAATCTAAAAATTTAAAAATATGTTTATTTTAAAAAGAGTCTTAAATCATAGTTTTTACCCGATTTAATAATAATCAATAGCCACTGCAAGGTATTAATTATTTGCGAAATGTTATTAAAAAAATATAACGAGAAAATAATTATTTCGGAAATGTTTTTTTTGCAAAACGTATAGATTTTTAGAAAAAATTTTATTTACTTTACGGTTTCAGTTTCAAAAATATATTAACTTAATATTAGGTTTCTATCAAAGTTTTATAGCCCTTGTTTGCATCATAACTATATACCTATACAATTTGTGGTTCAATTAACTTTTTTACTCGGCACGTGTACAACATTAAACGATTTAATCTATAATGAACACAATTTAATACAATTATCGGGGAACTATAAACAGCATTGCTTCAAACAAGCAATCAATTTAACGGTAAAAACAAACTTCCTAGTAAATTGTGTCTTTAATTAAAAAATTCTTATTTACTTATATAAAGACGCGTCATTATATGGTTCAGAATATTACGTAAGAAACATAAAACAGTCTTATTACGTATATCAAAGGTATTATTAATTGGTTATTATTATTTTTTTTTTTTTATGAAAACTTATTTATTAGTCTTGACAATTATGATTCTTCTTAAAATAATTGGGTACAAATTCATATCGTGAGTTTATTATATATCATTAATTATTATATCCTATCTATTATATTTTTTCTTTTAATTTTGTCGAGAACTCGTGAACCTCAACATTTCATTTATTAACATTTAAACATAATATTTTTTATTATATTTACCTACTTCAACTTATTAATTATTCTATCCGGTGCTATACAATAAATTACATTAGTTATAATAAAATAAATTATATTTTAATATTCCATATTAAATTCAGTACTCGTAATTCTTTTAATAGATTTTACATAGCGATAATATATTGTGCTATTAATTATATTTATCCCCAAGACAAATACATTTCATTTCGAGTGCTATAAGATATACTGATATCAATAAGTCTAGTATAACAAATGGAATAAAATCTTTTTTTCATTTCGATATAATCACAATTTTCGTGGGGCTGTGATATACATCAATGGTTATATAAACAAAATACGTGATAATGATGAATAAATTATTGTACGTAAATAGGCGCATACTACTGAGGTTCTAATAATAGGTATTGTAATCTTAATCAAGTCATTATTCGTCTGCAGCCTGCAGTGCGTTATAACTTATTATACGCCAGTTTGAATATATTTATTATGATTTTATAAAGTATATTATTAAGTATTATTTACACGTTTTATCGGTGTATAGGTAGATAACTAAACCCTAGTACTATGGGTTACGAATACGAAGCGTATAAGATATTTAAGTGTTAATAATTATAATTCTATTATAATTTGTTTGTAATATATTTATATAATGACAGCCGATTATTATTGTAATATGCGTATAGTAGTTGAATATATAATAATGTAATTAAGCGCACGTCCTCAAAATTGAGCGCGATCGATCACACAAAATACTCACGCATACTAATATATTATACTTTATTACTTGTGTTTCTTGAGCCCGATTTACATTATTTAAGTTCGTACGCAACAACGGCATGAAGCCATCAAATTTAATAAATTATTATAGACGCAGGCAATTTGTCTGAAGCGCATAGCTACAGCGGCATACCTTTAGGGGAAGGGATTATGGTAAGGTTAATTTCCCCCCGTAGAATACATTTTTAAATATATTAACTGTACAAGTTTCAAAAGTAACTAAATGCTAATATTAGTGCTTCAGGGAATTTTAGTGTTTTTATTTTAACTTATAGAACTTGATTTGTTCAATTTTGTTTAATTAAAATGCAAATAATTTGCTATATTATTTTAAATACATAAACACCTAATATTGTATTTTAGTCAATTAATTTACTATTGACAGGGCCGGATATACCATGTATTTTACCTGAGGCAAAGTATAAAATTAGCGCCCTCTCATAATTCAGCCACCCTCAATAATGCTACTGTTATATACATGTATTGGTTACTCTCTCTCTCTCTCTCTCTCTCTCTCTCTCTTTATATATATATATAAGAAAAGAAAATCGTAGATACTTAATTAGGAAAAATGTGTAATCAATTCAAAACTTAGAATAAAAACTGTTATTGCTTGACTTGTATATTTTCTAATACAACACTTTTAACACATATTTAAAATAATTTTACGAAATTCTAAAAAAATTGTGACATAAATATTAAATATAGGATTGTACAAAGTTAGCTAATAAATTAAATACGAGAAATGAGAATAATTTTTAGTGGACTAATTATTGACTATATGAGTATTTTAATTAAATTGAGTACATATAACAAATTATCATTAAATTTTGATTTTTCTTAATATTTGGCGGAAAAATCTTTTATAGTATTGTCATCAAAATATTAGAACAGGCATATTGTAAATTATTTTTATAAATACAATTCAAAATAATTTTTATATTTTAATAACTTTCAATTTCGTAAATAAATTCAATTCTATTTAAGTCGTTTTCATACTTATTACATGAGTCAATTGGGGGTTTTTTTTTAACATCACTTAATGGGATTTCAAACAATATTTTACCATCTAAAAATAAAAAATGTCGATTCTATATTTTTCATTGGCTCAAAAGGATCTCTTAATCCTGATAAAATATTATCTATAGGAGATTTTATTAAAATGTTGAATTTTTGTTTTTCACTTATAGTTGTTATTTTATCTTCAGCAAGCTCACCAGCCATTTCATTATATAATGAATAAAAACTGTTAATATATTCACTTATTATTTGGTAATTTTGTGTTTCTTAACCAAGACTTTCAGGGCAAGTGTCCTGGTTCGCCCCCCCCCCCCTTAGATCCGGCCCTGACTTGATATTTTTTTGTATATAGCTATATGTTATACATGTAAACCGTAGTTGCGTTTTAGAATAGGTCAAGAACGGACTTATATGGAATTAGTGGTATTACACTTTAGTATAGAAATAACCATAACAATGATGTTATTAACACTTCACAAACAAAAAAAGAGCGAAAATTAGATTTTGTTCAAATAGGTAACTTTAATTTACATTTTGTTTAGCATTAAACAAGGTATTATTACTTGTATTGCAATATCAAAAATAATGTATTTTTTTCAAATTTAAATTTAAATTTTGTGATGTAGGCGTATATTTACTTATTACATTTTTAAATGCTTTATCATTCTTAACGTTATAACATTTAAGTCATTATTAGAGCCCAGAATTTGATGACCTTAAAATCTTTAAAAAATACTCTCAAAAAAGTATTAAAATGACTTATAAAAATCAAAAAATGGTCTTAAAAATACCAAAAAATAACATAATATTTTAAAAAATTATGTTTTTTTTAAATAATAAATCATCAAAAAATTTTTTAATCATTCATTTATTACTTTAATCCTCTAAATTTAAACAAGGCTAATATTTTTATACATTAAATATATTTTTTTTTACAGACACAGGGCCTAAATTAAGTTTAA